GGTTTTTTAGCACATCGGTTCGGTTCGATTTTCGGTTTTCGGTCAAAAAATGCCAGCCCTAATATAGGGTTCGAGTTTGAATCCATTGATGTCCCGACTATCAGTGTAAGACCTAACCTACGACAGCTCGTCGGGCAAACAAAATTTTTTTTGTATGAAGTTCATGGAAACAACAATCGCACTCAAAAAAAAATCCCACGTCATTTTCTTCCAACAGCTTCCGGTCTTCTTCTTGTAAACAATTGGGACAAACGATACAACTCAAAACTTTAATGACTGGTGGGATGACTTTAATCTCTACCAAAATGCTAAGATCCAAAGGGTAAATGAAAATGGATACAGTGAGTTTGATCACTACCTCACGACGAATTTGATCCTTACGATTGCTCGTGAACCAGTTTCGTCACAAAAATTTGACCTCTTGGATTGGTAGTCAAAATGCATATAAACCTACTCTATGTATTTTTTTTCATTAAGATTATTGTTAAGTATGTTTTACCCTTAATTCAGCCATATTTTTTAACAATTTTATGCTACACTTTCGAAATATTCTACTTTAAAAATACTAGAGTAAATATAAAATTTTATAAGATAACTATGTATTAGAAAAAATGACAGACCAATTCATTTATGCATTAATCCATTTGTTTATTTATGTGTTTATTTTATTTGTTTATTTCGTGAGTAGACTGGAACATTGGGTACAAAACTGGAAAGCCATAATTCCCGTGATGTAGTAATTTCCGATGCTTGAGCTACAATCATCAACTGATTAATTATTACTCAATGGGACGCTGGCACTTGATGTACATCGAGAAATTCAATTCTACTGTGTCAATACATTTTCACTGTCACGGTAGATTCGATCTTACCCTGATGGTGGTTCGACCCGACGATTAAAATCCTCACGGGACACCGCTGATAGGTCGAAAAATGTGCACGTTTTATATATTTAATAGTGTATTTCTATACACTAAATTTATTTGCACATCTATGTTTTTCGATTTATTTATTTATTAGATGGATTCAAGTGCTATGATATATTTATTATTTATTTTCAGGATATTGGAATGTTTTCACGGACGACGAGACGGACCAAGGAATTACTAGAGAGTTGGACTAATACTAAGTGATTAAGGCCCAATATGATAATTAATTTGGACCCCTTGGAGATTCACGCAAGAAGGGCTGGGATTATCTACATGGTCCAACAAGGTCTAGAATTGAATTGGTGGAAATATGACATATGCTGGGATTTGACATAGTCCAAAGAAAATTGGACTTTCACGCAGCAATCAGACACAGAGCCGCCCCGCAAAGAAAACACACGCAGAGAAAAGGGAGTAGAAAGAGAGCGCACAGACAGAGGAGAAGCCCGATCAATCACGGAGGGAGGCCGCACTCGCACACGAGGGAGATAATTAATCTCTCTCTTTTATCTTTTTATTTTTATTTATTATGTTAGCTTAGCTTTTTATTTCTAGTTCCGGGGAAGTTGAACCCTAAGACTTGACGAATGTTTGATTAATTCTTGGTTGATAATTTCAATGTCTTTTGGAATTGTTTGTGTTATTTTGAATTATTAACCCTGATTTGTTGAGTCTTGTTTAGCTTGATCACCTAGACTAGACTTTTCATATCTACACCTGAATTAGGCCTTCAATCCGTAATTGTTGATGTGTTTAATTCGCAAGTGGTATCCGGAAGATGGTAACTACCGGGGATAACACGGCCTATTTAAGTGAACGAACGCGTTACTACTTAGTCTAGCCTATTTTTCTAATTCGTAAAGCGGCTGATTGTATTAAATCTAAGAAGCGTTTTCTAGACTGTACAAGAAGTCAGGTTTAATTGTTGAGCGTCTCACGGTTAAATTAAAAATAAGGAAAAATTCGGGTAACAGACCGTGTCGTTGCCTAGGGCTAGTAATTTCATAAGATGGCGAGATTTGATACCAAAATTTATTAGACGAGTCAGTCGAGGGTGTAGACGGAACCGTGAACTAGAAATTTCTCTTATTTATTTTATATTTATTTTTATTTCCTTTCTTTATATTTTTAGTATTTTTAGTTAGTTTAATTATCAAAACCCAATCCCCCCATTTACCGCTTTTATAATTCAATTAATACAAGAATATCACAACTTGATTCACACTCCCTGTGGGTTCGACCCTTGCTCACTACTACTACTAGTTGGTAGAAGTCGAATAAGGAATTTATAAATTATAATTTTTCCGCGTTGCGACGCGCGGTCAACCGCTTACGATAGGATGAA